GTTTCCTCCTCCTCCCACTACATAACGTAATAGGCACGATATTGCTCTGAAATCAAGCAAATGCTGCTCATGGGGAACCTTCGCCACTTGTGAGCTTTCTTCCCAGTCACCAAAGGCAGAGGGGAGACCTCTGCCACTATCCAAAAGGAGAAAGAGGCCCACGTCTCGACCAATAGCTCCCTTGGCAGGTCAGTTGTTCTCCAAAACCTAATCCCTGGCGTTCTTCATTCCTCTGGAAAAACCACTTTCTGAATTGCAAAGCCATGCATTCAGGCTCCCACCTAGAATTTGCTCAGTACTGCTTCTGTCGGATGTTAATTTTTACGTTCCTTCTCCAGACATCTGCTGCAAAGTCTCTTTCTGGCTGGGGGAGCTGCCCTATATTATCCTGCCTCTCTGAAGTGCCTTCTCAGGAAGGCCGCTGTTGAAATATTGACGCGTCTTCTGCAGCACTTGAGAGTCCCTGGCGGGCCGTGATGGACAAGGCTGCCTTCCTGGTGCCCTCAATGGTCGTGCTTCAAACCAGAAGTTCCCTTTCAGTCCTGAGTAGTGCTTTCCCCCCCTGGGGTACGCATATCCCAGAACATTTTGTGAATCTAAGTTTGGCCTCATTGAGGGGTGGTATTTCAATACGAGTAGGAAAATGAGAGTACCCCTAAACATTTTTTTTAGAAAAAAAGCAGTGGTCCTGAGCACGCGACATGGGATGTCAGGGAAGAAATCTGGTTTTCCAGTGGAAGAAGGGGAGCCAACCGAGCTGTTTCTAGCTCTGGCTGTGCCTGAATTCTACGTAGCCAGGCAAAAACACCAGATGAGGGGGACTCCCAAGGGCCACATAAAGATGGTCAGAGGGCCTCATTCGAAGTTCTCAGCTTTCCCACGCCTGCTTTGGGTGCTCTCCATCCTTGCAGAAGGAGGTGTTGTGGGCCAGTTCTCAGGGCCAGTCCTGCTGTTAGGCAGCAGCCTCAGGTGGCAGATGCTGAGAGATGGTGTGTGTGTTTGTGTGTGTGTGCGTGCACACTCGCAACCTGTCCTGTACCCCCAGCCAGCCACCCATGTCCCATCACCTGCCTTGAAGTAATGTTCAACTCATCCACTTCCAGAACCATTCCCAGCTCTGTCTGCTGGCAGAGAGGAGAGTGTCAGGTTCTTTGTGGCCATGGACTGGCGTTGCACATGCATGTTCCTCACCAGAGGATGACAGCGACGACATGAATGTGTGAATGAATCACGACAATGCCACCGCCTCAGACAGAGCTTCCTCAGCACCCATCATCACCTCAGACGCAAGGAGGCTGCCCCGTGGGGGCCAGTTCACACATTCGGCTGTGAGTCATCAAGCGATGAGCAATGGCGTGGGACGCGCATTGATGCGGTGGTGCAGAGCTGCCTTCAGAGGATGCTGGTCAGGAGCTGGCAAAAAGCTTTGGAGTGAGTCTGAAGATGGGACTCTTTGTGGAAGATCCTCGAGGGTTGGGGGGGAATCACATCAGTCTGGAGTGGGATGCATATTCTGCTCCCATGGGCAGAGGTCACAATTGTACTATGTGTCTGTCCATGTCTCAATGTCAGAGTTGCCTAGCACTAGGTGTAAGGATTGCATGTGAGAATCACAGATCTGCGTGCAAACCAGACACTTCAGAACAATGGTTATCTATCTCATCCAAATATCAGTGTCCAAAATGTTAGCTTTCAAGTTTACCCTCCAATGCCAAGTTTCTAGGCCTCATGGCAAGGAGATGAGACTGAAAAGATATTGGGCCCTGCTGAGTGAAATCCCAGAAGCTGGAGGAGGGAGGGAGGGTGGTGGGCCAAAGCTTTGGATGGCTCCTACCCCACCAGAATAAATTGTGCAAAAACCCTCAGGCTTAATGGTTCAACCCCCAGAATAACACTGCGAAAATCAGGAAAAACTATGCAAAAACCAAACGTGCTCAATGTACATCATTTATTCAGATCACAGAATTTGGGTTTCCTTGGTACAGAACTGAGCAGGAGCAGTGGGAGGGCAAAGGAAGAGAGAGGAGTCTAGACTTCCTGAAGTCCTGCTCATGGGTTTACTCATCTTTGCAGAGTCCTCTGAAAAAGGCCCCCTAAAGATTATTGAATGAGTTTAAGAAACAAGTTCTGTGCAACTTGAGAGCTGTACGTCTGCACTGCACATGTTTGGCTGGTCCTTTGGCTTTGACCAATATGGCTACCTCTCTGGGATGCATTATGTGCAACATGGCCGATTCCTATCCTAAGGTGAGGCCATCCCCTCCAGTTGGCCTGGCCTGCTCTGGCACGGGGAGGCTCTGCTGGGCAACCGTGGCAAAGTCCGAGTTGCCACCTTCTGTTCTGTCAAGTGAAGAGGGCCTTCCTCTGCAGCCACTCTCTGTGGGAGACCCTCTCTCCCAATATTGGAACCCAACGGGGGCTCTCCATTCAACAAAACTGGAGGGCGTTGGATTCAGACAAGAAAGACTTCTTCACACAACACAAAAGTTAAACCATGGATTTGGCTACCACAAGATGAAGCGATGACCATCCACTTGGGTGGCCTTGAAAGCAGGTTGAGCAAATGAATGGAGGATAAGGCAATTGATGGCCACCAGTCCTGATAGTTCCCCATCCTGTATATAGATCACCTCCAGGATTAGAAGCCATCAGCCTCTGTCCCTTCCGCTGGGCTTCCTGTAATGGGCATCTGGTTGGTCACTATGGGAGGACGATGTGGGACTAGATGGGGTCCCTTTGGCTTGATCCAGCTGCAGTTAGCCACTCTTCTGAAGATGGAAGGGAGAGAGGCAGACACCTTGAGGGGTTTCATGCCCCTGGCCATGTCTGGGTGCTGGGGGGATTCAGGTGAGTTGGCCTGGAACAGCAGGAACGAGAGTGGGGCATCACCAAAATACAGGGCAGATGCCCATCACAAAAGGATGGGAAATCCTGGCCACTGTGTGTGTTGGATAAGGAGGGTTCTCTCAGTGGGTGCAGTTGCTTTGGCAGAGGGTGAAAGAGGATGGAATGGGGGCCAAGGCTGACCAACCGTCTGGCTTTCCCCAAGGTACGTCACATTTTTCCAAGTGGGTGGGGAGACTGGGTTGGCTTAAAGCCCTTGTAAGACTGCTCCCTAGAGGGGGGAGGCCTCCCCCAGGCTCCTTCCTGGTGCTATTCAGCCATTGCACTTCCATTGTAATCTACAAGCCATGTTGTGTTCTTGCTGCACGTCTCTGCCCATGCTAGTAAGCCTGACTTGGCTGCTGTGTGAAGGGGTGGGGAAGGGTCAGGTCACCTGACCAGCCACTGAAGCTCAGTGCACATTGGCTCTCACTTGGCAGGGATTCAGCAGGACCCTTCTTCCGGTCTTGCATGGTCCAGGATTGATGCCGAGCTAAATAGGAACAGCCAACAGTGAGTCAACAATGACAGCTAATGCTGTTCTAGGCTATATCTACAGAAGTCTAGTGCCCAGGTCAAGAGAAGTAATAGTACCACTTTATTCTGCCTTGATCAGGCCACACCTGGAGTCCTGTGTCCATCTCTGGGCACCACAATTTAAGAAGGATGTTGACAAGCTGGAAGGTGTGTAGAGCAGGGCAACCAGGGTGATTAAGGGTCTGGAAACCAAGCCTGATGAGGAACGGTTGAAGGAGCTGGGTATGTTTAGCCTGGAAAAGAGGAGAGTGAGAGGAGATAGGAGAGCCATCTTCAAATATCTCAAGGGCTGTCACATGGAGGATGGAACAAGCTTGTTTTCTCCTGGTCTAGAGGGGAGGACCAGAACGGATGGAATCAAGAGACAGGAAAGGAGATTCCAACTAAACATCAGGAAGAACTTTCTGACAGAAAGAACTCCTTGATAGTGGAATGGGCTTCCTCAGGAGGTGATGGAAGCTCCTTCATTGGAGGTAAAAGCAGAGGACAGGGCAGGATGGCCTCTTGTAAGGTTTCCCCAGAGGCCACTAGCTGCTCTAAGTTAACGGAGTACAAGAGCGGAAAATACATGGAGGCTCCACCTGCCTTACAACCCCTCTGGAGAGCAATCTTCCGTTCGGTTCGACACAATTCAAGAGCAGTTTGAGAACTGTTGACTTTCAGACGTCCTCATGAAATTTCATCAGCACCAGCCTGCCTGCGCATATTACGTGGCTGGAGAACTGCATGGCAAAAATTCAGAGAAGTGTGAATTTGGAGGAACAGCTGTCTTTTGATTCCTCATATTGTCTAGGAAAGCCAGTCAAGCTCAACTTTAAACGGGAACTGAACAGATTTCCTCCCTTCCTATCGAAAAATGAGTGTGTCCTCTGCCTGTAGCTGGTTCCTCCCCTCCCCTTGCAATAGCTAACAACAAACTAGAATGCAATAGGGGACTGTGTGGGGGGTTGGTTTGGATGACCCTTGTTGGTCCCAAGCCTACAATTCTATGATTCTGTGATTTCTTGACCAGGAGCCCAATGCTGAGGCTTTCATTTTGTCAGTGGCCATTCAGGAAGGTGCTGAGAGGAGCAGATGCGCAGGAACCCTGGAACTTGGCTGCGATGCACAAGCTCCTTGGCCGTGTCTGCTGGATAATGAGAAGGCTGAGGAATGCTTGAGTTTTCTTTTGGCTCTAAGCAGGAGCTGCGATGGCGGCTGGAGGATCTGAACTGTTTTATGAACTGGCCAACCTGGAAGTGCAATGTCTGCGTTTTAAACCGATTGATAAAAAAGGGGGTGTCCCTTCCCAATGATGCAGCCAGAGTCCTGCCTATAGGTCTCTGTGGGTGTGTAGGGAGAGATTCAGAGAAGGGGGTGAGGGGAGGGAAGTGATGGGCAAAGGGGCCAAATGCTTTGCCCTCCATCATCACCAATCTCCTGGCTGTTTTCTGGCTTGTGTCGTTTGGCTGCTCCAGCAATCAAGAAGTTTCGCCCGTGTCAATCCAGATGGCTTGGCAGGATCATGGAGACCTTCCTGCTCTTCCCAGCAAGGCAAGTCTGTTTGTCTCTGACCGCCTCCCCCCTTGCCAAGCGTGCCCCTATGCCAACGGCTTCAGGTGGATGGCAGGGCTGTTTGGCCGGGCGGCGAGGATGTAGATGGTGCTCTCTCGTAGGAAAGTAGGCCAGTTGATGGTCCGGCTGTGAAGGAAACAGAGGGAGGGAAAAGCTTAGCAGGGTGGAGTCCCCAGCAGTGCTGGCCCAAGAGCAAGGCTTAGCCTTCCCCTGGCCTGGTACCTCTGGCTGTTCTCAAAGACAGCTCCCAGAAGAAATTTAAAGAATATTTAGCTAAATATTGTGATACAAGATAATTAGAAAATTCTTGGAAGTAAGAAATAGGCTTAGGGGTAGAATAAGAATATGTGGTAGTAAATATTAAGGATTAGAATATTAATAAAAGAGAGGAGGATAGTAAATGAAAGGAGTGAATATTATTAGAAATATGAATTTGGAGAACTGCTATACAGGGGTTATAATGAAATTCAGATAGAGGGGATTTGAGGAAGTCAGCTATCAATGTAACGAGAATTAGAGATTTGAAGTAAGAATTCTGTTTTGTGTGTTTTTCTTTTTCTTTTTCTTTTCTTGTTGTGTGTCTTGTAATGTTTTCACTTTTTCTATGTGATAAATATGGAAACCAATAATTTATTTATTTTTTAAAAAAGACAGCTCCCAGAAGCCCCAGCCAGCATGGCTATATGATGCCGGGGATGATGGGAGTTGTGGTCCAAAATACTTGCCAGGCATGGGGAAGGCTGAGCCAGCGGCTTGGCTGGCCCAGAATGAAAAGGAGCTGGGCATGAGGCAGCCCAGCAAGCCAGCTTGCCCCCCAGGGCGGAGAGTCCAGTGCTGACCTCCTAGAGAAAGCCAAAGCCACGACTGCGTGACGTAACTGGTGTGGGGCAAGGGCTCCTGCCCACTCGGCTGTGAAGCTCACTGGGTGGCCCTGGGCCAGTCACCGCCTCTCAGCCTTACCTACCTCGCAGGGCTGTTGCGGGGGGATTCTGTGAGGGTGGTGGGGAGTTTCCCTCTGACAAAGTGCAGGATCATGGCAATGAAAATAATGACTAGAGTTGGGGCAATGACAGAACCCTGTTTAACATCTGCTCCCACTGTGGATGGGTCACTTTGAGAGCCATTGTTATCTGCAGTAGAACTGGCCTCCATGGTCACTTACAGGCTCATTGTTAAATCTGTGTTTATGGAAGACAAGCTTACTCGGCTATGAGGGATCGCAGAAGAAGAAGAAGAAGGAGGAGGAGGAGAAGAAGAAGAAGAAGAAGAATGTGAGGATGGGGAGAACCATGTGCACCCCACTTTGAGCTCCTTGGAGGAAAAGGTGGGGCAGAAAGACAATTAAAAAAGAATAATAATGAAAGCCCCCAGCAACGTGGGGCACCTTAACCTCCCTGGGGAGGGAGATGTGTGGCCACTGGCCTCTCAGCCAGCCCTTGTCTCCCCTCCTCTTTTTCCTCTTTCCATTTCCTTTCCCCCCTCGATCATCCCAGTCCCGCCTTCCCCCCTCCCTTGACTCTGGTCTCAGAAAGCAGAGAATTGCTATTAAATTACTCTTCCACTTCACCCACTTTCCCTTCAGAGGGTTCAAGGTGGCACATACGGTTCTCTGCCTTCCCATCTGGCCCCCACAACAACCCTGAGAGGTAGACCAGGCTGAGAGGCGGTGCCTGGCCCAAGAGAGCCAGCGCTATGTGGCTGAGTGGTGATTCGAACCCTGGTCTCTCCCAGGCTCTGTACTCATAAGAATCAATCATAGGATTAAGTTGGAAGGGACCCTGAGGATCATCTAGTCCAACCCCCTGCAATGTGCAGCTGTCCCATATGGGGATTGAACCCGCAATGTTGATGTCATCAGCTCCAGGCTCTAAGCAACTGAGCTACTCTAACCACTAGACCACACAGCCTTATTGTACTTGACTACCTCACCCTACTCCAGGGAGAAGCGGTTCTTGAGAGTCAAGTTTGCTCGCCCATCCATCTGTCCAGGGCCTGGGGAGCAGCCAGAGATGCCCGCCTTTGCTTTTATGCCAATCTGCTCCAGGCCTGAGTGACAGTTCGTTGGCAGGCAGGCAGGCCTGGCGAGAGAGACGGCGACGGCAGAGCCAGGCAGATGGCCAGAGAAAGGTGTCGTTGCAGGATGGCTCCCGTCTCATTTCGGATCCCACCAAGGCCTCGGCTCACAAGCAGCCCCCCTCCCAGCTGCGCTTCTCCCTCTCGCCCACCTCTCCCCACCCAAACCGGGAGTCATCTCCCTCCAACTGGAAAGATGCTTAGGGTTTGCCTTGCTGCCAACGGTCGCCATGGAAACCCGGGAGCCTGAGCGCGGCTCCTAATGAGGCAGAGCGATATTGCAAGTGTTGGCACATCTCTCCAACATTTAGGAAAGTCAGGAGTGATATTACGGCGGTGGAAACTGAGGCAGGAGTTGGCGGCAGCGATGCTTCCGAATACCAGTTGCTGGAAACACAAGGAGGGGAGAGTTGTTCTTGTGCCTGGTTCCTGCTTGTGGGTTTCGCACATCTGGCTGGCCATTGTGAGAAGAAGAGGCTGGATTAGGTGGGCCATTGGTCTGATCCTGCAGGCTCTTTTTAGGTTACTATGTGAGGAGGGATCAGGCGAAGAACCCGGGGTGCCTGCGGAGAATTGCTCAAAGACTGGAGAACATAATCCAGGCTTCCTGAGCTCCAGAACCAGTATGTGACCCACAGACAGAGGATAAGTCCTGGGTGCTGTCCCAGAATCTGGAACCAAGCCTGATGAGGAATGGCTGAAGGAGTTGGGGATGTTTAGCCTGTAGAAGACTGAGAGGAAATATGATAGGTAAAGGGACCCCTGACCATTAGGCCCAGTCATGGCCGACTCTGGGGTTGTGGCACTCATCTTGCTTTATTGGCCGAGGGAGCCGGCGTACAGCTTCCGGGTCATGTGGCCAGCATGACTAAGCCGCTTCTGGCGAACCAGAGCAGCACACAGAAACGCCGTTTACCTTCCCGCCAGAGCGGTACCTATTTATCTACTTGCACTTTGATGTGCTTTCGAACTGCTAGGTTGGCAGGAGCAGGGACCGAGCAACGGGAGCTCACCCCGTTGTGGGGATTCGAACCACCGACCTTCTGATCGGCAAGTCCTAGGCTCTGTGGTTTAACCAACAGCGCCACCTGCGTCCCAGAAGATATGATAGCCTAACTCAAATATCTGAAGGGCTATCATATGGAAGATGGAGCCAGATGGTTTTCCCTTGCTCCAGAGTGGATCCCCTGAACCAGTGGATTCCAGTGACAAGAAAGGAGATTCTGACTAAACATTAGGAAGAACTTTCTTGCGGCAAGAGCCAGTTGACAGTGGAACGGGCTCCCTTGGGAGGTGGTAGAGGCTGAAGGGCCACCTGTCAGGGATTCTTTAGCTGCAATTCCTGCATTGCAGGGGGTTGGACTAGATGGCCACTGGGGGGTGCCTTCCCACTCTACAGTTCTATAGATTTCCCAGCCAGTGAGGCACCTGCAGTGGTTTCTGAAACAGTCTAGTCTTAGCTGGACCCTGCCACATGGTTCTTCTGAACTTGCAGACTCTGTTGGAGGCCTCTGCATGGCACCCTTTAAGGACAGACTACCTTTCTCTGCCCGGTGACCTGCTTACCTTGGTTCCTCTGGCTCTGCATTCAGCAGCACCTGGTCCTGGCTTGCGTTGCTGGCTGGGCTGCTCTCTGAGATGGGGCCCACGTGGCTGATGCTGCAAGGGAGCAAAGGGCCCCCCCATGGTTACATCACCCTAATGAGCAGTCTGATGAAGGACTCTGGCCACAGGTGCCCCAAACTCCCAACAGGTTGGAGAAAAACCAGGCAGACGCCCAGAATTCTCAGGCCAAGGGGAAGAGCTTCTGCTTAATAACAACAATAATAATAAACTTTATTTATACACCGCACTCCCCGGCCAGAGCCAGGCTCAGGGCGGATAACACCAGTAAAATTACAGTACAGTGGTACCTCTGGTTGCGAGCGGGATCCATTCCGGAGGCCCGTTCATAACCTGAAGGGAACACAACCCGCGTCTGCGGGTCGCGATTCACCGTTTCTGCGCATGCGCAAGCTGCAAAACCTGGAAGTAACCCTTTCTGGTACTTCCGGGTCATCGCAGGATGCAACCTGAAAAAGCTCAACCTGAAGCAAACGTAACATGAGGTATGACTGTAAAAACATAATAGGGGAAAAACCCAATTTAAAATACAGGTTAAAATGCAATTTAAAATGCAGCCTCATTTTAAAAGTAGCCCATAGATCAAGGCCATAAGGGGAGGGAAACATAAGGGGCAGACTAAGTCCAAACCAAAGGCCAGGCGGAACAGCTCTGTCTTGCAGGCCCTGCGGAAAGATGTCAAGTCCCGCAGGGCCCTGGTCTCTTGGGACAGAGCGTTTCACCACGTCGGGGCCAGTACTGAAAAGGCCCTGGCCCTAGTCGAGACCAATCTAACCACCTTGCGACTTGGGACCTCCAAAATGTTGTCATTTGTGGACCTTAAGCTCCTGCCACGGGGCAGACCAGCAGAGGCGGTCCCGTAGGTACGTGGGTCCTAGGCCGCATAGGGCTTTAAATGTGCCCACGTGCCCAGTGGCAAATGCAGGGGGGTTCCCAGCCAAGCCAGGGAGGCTGTGGCTCAGAGTGGGCGGGTGAGGACCTTTACCTGACGTTGCAAGAGGGCACCTCCTTGTGCCGCTTACGGAACCACGTGTGTTGGCTGCGCCGACTCTCTGCCTCGCTGATGAGCCCGTCCCCATGCTGGTCCAGCGACAAGAAAGTGGATCGCGCCCGCTCTCTCTCCTTGCCCGTCAGCAGGCGGAGCAGGGCATTCTGTGGGGGGGAAGCAGAGGAGGAGCATGTGATTAGAGCATCGTCTTCGAAGGGACTTTGGCTGTGAGGGGTGTGGAAGGGGCTTTGCACTCCTGAACTGGCCACCACAGCGCTCAGGAGTGATGCAATGGCTTGCCAGGCCTTGGAGAGGTGCTGTCAGTCAGAGGGGACAGTGCTGGGCTGGAGGCACCCATGGACTGAGTGACTCAACAGAAGGCACCTTCCTAGGTTCCTCATGGGAGTCACCTTCACCCACCTGTGTCCGTGATCTCTGCAGCTGCAGGACGGACTCGTGGGAGAGGAAATCCACCCATTCGACGTGGCCTTTCTTCTCTGGATCCAGTGCTGAAAACTGCAGGGCGTCCTGGTCTTCCTGCTCCTCGCTGCTGGGCTGCTGGTTCGACAGCCGCTTGTAGCCCAAGAAGACATTCAAGGTCAGCTCACTGTCTGTGGAGCCACCAGATGGGAAGAGTCAGTGAGCGCTTTCTCTCTCTCTCTCTCTCTCTCTCTCTCTCTCTCTCTCTCTGCAGCACCTTAACCCCTTGGGCTATTAGCGCTGCCCTGCTCCCCTCAAAAGAATACAAAAAGAGCCCACCGGATCAGGCCAGTGGCCCATCTAGTCCAGCATCCTGCTCTCACGGAGCCTGCGGGAAACCAGCAAGCAGGATTTGAGGGGTTTCCAGCAAGTGGGGTTCAGAAGCCTTGCTTCCTCCAGCTGTGGAGGCAGAGCAGTCATTGAACGCCCTCTACTCCTCCATGCATTTGCCAGATCCTTTTTAAAAAGCCATCTAGTTTGGTGGCCATCACTGTGGCAGGGAGTTCCACAGTTTAACTAGGCGCTGTGTGAAGAAGGACTTGCTTTTCTCTGTGCTGAATCTACCAACATTCATGTCCATGAGTTCTAGAGTTCCAGTGAGAGAGGGAGAAGAACCTTTCTCTGTCCATCCGCTCCATGTCATGTATAATTTTTATAAATGTCTACCATGTCCATTATCACTTGCCTTTTCTCTAAACTAAAAAGTCCCAAATGCTGCCACCTTTCTTCAGCCCCTCAACCGTTTCTGTTGCCCTTCTCTGAACTCCAACTCTGCAATATCCTTTTTGAGATGAGGCAGCCAGAACTATACCCAGTACTCCACAGGTTTCCATAATGGCGTTATGATACAGCCAGTTTTCATTTCAGTTCCTTTCCTAATGATCCCTAGTGTGGAATTTGCCTCTCTCTTTTTTTTGCAGCTGCTGCACCCTCTCAGTAGGAGGGCCCCCAGTTAAGGGGAGGCCTCAGCCTTGAACCCAGCGACACACCTAGTCCCACTCAAGACCCCCAGAATCACAGCCGGCTCAAGACATTTTGCCGCCCGAGGCGAACTTCCCTCCTGGCTGTGTCCCATTCCTACAAACAACAACCCCGGTTTTGTTTCACAGGCACCCTCACTGAAGGACTGGGCAGAGCATGTGCAGAGTGGCATTTTAGGGGAATGCACCAGCAGCTCCCCCAGCCCTGAATTAGAGGCAGGACTCTGCAGAAAGCACAGCCGAGAGAACAGGCGTGGGGTTGTTTGGCGACCCCTTTTGCGGTGGCCAATTGCCTCTCCAGCAAGGGAAGTGAGCTAGGACCCGGATCCCAACTGCCACCCTCTCCCATTCTGCCACCGAGGTGCCCACTCAGCCCTGCCCACAGCAGCCTCCTCTTCCCCTTGCTACCACAGCCCACCAGACTCCCTCACCATTGCTTCGCCTTCCTCCAGCGGGTGGTACGGAGGTCTGGAGCGGCCTCCTGCCCCCACAATGAAAGGCAAGACTCCCAAGACTAGGTCATGGCGAAGGCAAGGCCTGGTGGTGGTGGGATCATGGCCACTGGCCCTACTCCTTGCTCTCCAGACATTCCCCGTCCAAAGTGCAATCTGTTCCTGCGGTTTGGGTGAAGGGGGCGAGAGAGCGGCTGACGTGGGTCCCTCTCTTCACACCTGACCCAGGAGTGTGGGTCCGCAGCACAGGCTTACCTGGGGCGACCTTGCCTTGCTGGAAGGACTGGAAGAGGCTGCTCATCTCCTCCTCAGTGAGGAGCAAGTTGAGATTGTCCTGGGGTGGGGGGGAAGAAAGGAGGGCGAGTCAGTTGCTGGGAGGCTCCCAGGACACAACTGGGTGGATTTGCAGATTCAGAGTCCCCTCCCCACTGCCCTCACTCCTTCAGTGTATGGTCCTCAAGGGTAGACTGCCTTCAGTCATGGAGGCTTCCTTTCACCATCATGGTTCTCTTTTCCCTCTCTGCGTGAGTGCAATCCTCTCTTGGAAAGGGGAGGGTAAATGACTGCCCCTCAGTCTAAGGACCCCTAGTTCTTCACACTGGAAGGGAAGACGTCTCCCACAGCACCCTCCCCTCCCACAGCACCCCAGGGCCCCCACCCGCTGCTTACGCAAGAGTAGCAGCTCCAGCCGGTCTCCGAATGGGCCGCCTCAATGACCTCGCTGGTGTTGTCCTGGGGCAGGAAGCCCATCCGGCGGAGGCAGCCATCATGATAGACCCTCGTGCAGACGCGACAGGGCAGGAGGCTGTCCGCTGTCCACACTTCGCACACCTCGCACGTTTCGTCGTTGGTCACCTGCTTGGGGAGGGGAGGAAAGGCTGAAGCCCTGAGCAGCTGCAGGGACCCCCAGGAGAAGGAGGTCACCCTCGATATCCTCAGTTCAGGAGAACGTATGGCATTGTAGACTTCTTCCCTAGCCCTGCAGCAGCAGAGGGGGTGGGCATCTGTCAGGGATCCTTTAGCTGTGATTCCTGCATTGCAGGAAATTGGACCTGATGACCCTTGGGTCCAGGGCAGCTGTTTATCAGCTCCATCTGGTACGCAGGATGAGACCCTACCTGCCTGCGGACTGTCTTGCCAGAGTGGTGCGTGCTCTAGTTATCTCCCGCTTGGACTACTGCAATGCGCTATACGTGGGGCTACCTTTGAAGGTGACCCAGAAACTGCAACTAATCCAGAATGCAGCAGCTAGACTAGGGATTGGGAGTGACCGCCAAGACCATATAACACCAGTCTTGAAAGACCTACATTGGTTCCCAGGACGTTTCCGAGCACAATTCAAAGTGTTGGTGCTGACCTTTAAAGCCCTAAATGGCCTCAGCCCAGTATACCTGAAGGAGCGTCTCCATCCCCATCGTTCTGCTCGGACACTGAGGTCCAGCGCCGAGGGCCTTCTGGCGGTTCCCTCTCTGCGAGAAGCCAAGTTACAGGGAACCAGGCAGAGAGCCATCTCGGTGGTGGCACCGCCCTGTGGAACACCCTCCCACCAGATGTCAAAGAGAAAAACAACTACCAGACTTTTAGAAGACATCTAAAGGCAGCCCTGTTTAGGGATGTTTTTAATGTTTAATGCTGTATTGCATTTTTAATATTCGGTTGGGAGCTGCCCAGAGTGGCTGGGGAAACCCAGCCAGATGGGTGGGGTATAAATAATAAATTATTATTTTTATTGGGGCCCCTTCCTGGGGGAGGATCTGCAGCCAAATCACAAATGCATGATTGCTAGAAAGTCGCAAGCAGGTGACTCTATGATGTTATATCCTCTAAACTTTTGTGGTTGAAGACAAAAGGAACCTAATCTTCTTCCTTTTGCTCCTCCTCCTCCTCCTTACCTGCAATGGGCAGGGTTCTCTGTGAGCTCTCCTCCAGGGAGCACCCTCCATTTTGAACTGGACTATGGACGTTTGTAACTTTTAAGGATTATCGCCTGCTTGATTTCCATCACTGAACATGCTGAATCCTGGCAAGACCTTTAAGTGAGTAAACTATATATTTTCCTGGTTTACTCAAACAGTTTGCTAGTGATTTCTTTGTTAAGAAGGAACCAGGAGAAGATGACCCAAGTCTGCCTAAACACCCTTGGATAGTAAAGCTGCTCTAGAAAGTTGTGCAACCGTGTCCTAAAAGCTTCTAGAGATAAGCTGCCCACAGTGGTATTACTCTGCTGAAATAGGTATTTGCATTCTTACACCCGTGAGAAATAGAGGAAGGATAATTAATAAGTAAGATATCCTCTCCTGCTCATCTAAATCCATCCAACGCATCCAACTCTGTGATTCTATGATGTGTCGTGCCCCTCTGGTTTTCTTGCCCAGGGTGCTTCTGCCTCTCCGCCCTCCCTCCCTCTTCCAGGGGTTTATCCTGTGCCCACCTGCTCCCTCTGCTCCAGGCTGATCTCAATGGGCTCGTCATCCTGCTCCCTCCGTGTGGGCCGGGCAAAGGCTGGCGGCGTGAAGAAGGTGGTGCGGTCAAACTCTTCGGGCTCCACTCCTCGCCCGTCCCGCAGCCTCTCCCAGGCCGCCCTGCGGAAGCGGCTCTCCTCCTTCTGCTGGAGCCCCGCAGAAGGCCCTGCTTCCGACGCCTCCTCTTCTCTGAGTTCCTGCACCGTGTCCTCGATGGTGCCCCTCCGGCTGGTGCTGCCCTCCGACTTGCGTTCTCGCAGCCCGTCCTTGAAGGCCGACACGGCCAGGCTGACCTTCTGGACCTGCTCCACGGTCTGCCGCCTGGACATCAGCACCCCCATGGCTCTGAAAGAGAGGCAGCCGTGAGAAGGGGTTGGTACCGGTTAGGGTTCTATGAGAGGGGCTAGCAGGGGGAGAGCTAGCCCACCCATGTAATAAACGGAAATCTGCTCTTATTCCCTTATGGAGGACACAAGAGGCCTTTCAGAGTCCTTTGCAGGTTCTCCATTGGTTGGAGAAAATAACGGAGGCCAACCAGAGAATATTGAGATGCAAAGCAGCTAGTAAGCCTGATCTTTATTGATCTGTTGCAACAGGGTGCTCCCCTCACACGCAGGAAAGGAAGAGGAACCCAGAACAAAGGTGTCCCCACCCTTATATAGACATTTTAAATTGCCCGCCCTGGAGTCCAAGACCACCCCCCAGACACATCATACCTACATCACAGAAAGGGCGGTCTACAACAGAAATCTGAGTATGTTGTTTATCTCCTGTCTGGCAGGTTACCTGTTAATGCTTACTTGATTGGATACCCTGGGGAGCCTGGCCAGTCTTTTGTAATGATAAATACTTAGTTCCTGAGCCAGGTCGCAGACTCAGCCTATACCCTTAAGACAGGTTTTGTGAATGAAAAGACAATGGGGAGGCTTTTTCATTTTCCTTTGACCTTGCAGAGAAAACATTTGGTCAGTCTGGGAGCCAAAATGGTTCCAGGACTGCTTTGCTGTGCTGCTTCAGACATGTGGTTTACACATTTATGTACGTGTTTGCTTGGTACATTTATGAACATTTATTATATATATAAGACCTTCATTTATTTATTTCACCCAGCAGGCAGGTGGGTGACTGTGGGAGAGAGGTGGGGCAGCTGTACATGCAGGCTCCTCTGGGTGGAAGAGGCGGAGGAGATCACTGCCTCCATACCCCATTCCCAGAAATCCTAGAGTTGGAAGGGACCATGAGGGTCATCTAGTCCAACCCATTGCAACGCAGAAATCTTTTGCCCAATGTGAGACTCGAACCCATGACCCAGAGATTAAGAGTCATGAATGGATTATATCAGTAGTCTCTCTTTTTTAAATGGAGGTTGGATGGCTATCTGTCAGGGATTCTGTAGCTGTAATTTCTGCACTGAAGCGGGTTGGACTAGATGAGCCTTGGGTACCTTCCAGCTGTGCCATTCTTAATATTCTAATGGGGCCAAAGACCTGGCTGACTGCTGTGACAACAGGATGCTGGACTAGGTGGGCCACTGGCCTGATCCAGAAGGCTCTTTTTATGTTATCATGCTCTCTTTCAGTATAGAACACCAGATAGCAGAATCGGGCCTCGGATACTGGTTGCAGAATTCCCTTTGTATCCAGCAAGCTCCCTTTTGTGATTCCTTGGGGTCCTTTCCAGCTCTACAATTCTATGAGTCTATAAAGTTGCCTTCAGTCATAGTCCAGGTCCTGCCCCCATTATCCCAACACAAGGGAGTCTTCTGGCATTTTAAAGACTCAGCGATTTAAATCTCCTTTCCAATCGGCTGAAGCCAACTCTTATCCACAGAATCTGAGGCCGCAGTCATCTGCTCGTCTTCCAGGTGCCACAAGGCTCTTGCTTGTTATTGAAGCAACAGCAGCTGATGTCTCCCTGCAAGGTCTTATCTTCCTGGCAAGGCAATTCCCTACAGCAAGGCTTGCTCTTTTGCAACTTCGCGTTCCTGTGACCTTAGAGGTCACCCCTGAATCCAGAGGACAATGCAGACGCTGAGATATTCTCTGCTCATCTCATGTTCCCTACTTCTTGAAACAAACCAACAAACCAACAAACCAACAAACAAACAAACAAACAAACAAACAAACAAACAAACAACTGCCTTAAAAATGAAACAAGGAGTTCCTTCTCCAGACAAGAGCAGCGTCACCCTAACCTCTTTTTCTTTTTGCCAAAATGACTGTCTTTGCTTTCAAAAGGATTAAGCATTGCCGCGACTCTATTCTTTTATGAAAAATACTGAAAGGTGGGGAAAGTCTAGTTTCTCACAAAACGACTGGGCAGAATTGTGGCTGAAAGTTCTTCCCTGTACCTCAAATGCCACAAGGCCTAGAGACTTGGTTTTCTAAATCAAAACAATTTATAAATTAATCCAATTTATTTATTGCATTTATACCCCACTTTCCCCTCCATGGAGCTCAAGATGCTAATAATAATAATAATAATAATAATAATAATAATAATAATAATAAATAATAATAAATTTTCATTTATACCTCGCCCCCCCCCCGGCCAAAACCGGGCTCAGAGTGGCACTCCCACTCCTCTTTCAATCCCCACAACAACCCTGTGAGGTAGGTTAGGCTAGGAGGCAGTGACTTGCCCCCAAAGTCACCAAGTTGAAGGAATGATTGCCAGGTGTGGAGCACACTTCCACCCGCAGACAAAGCCACAGCTGTCTGAACATCATGACCTTTGTCTCCTTCATCATACACTGTGCAAGGGGAAAATGACGCGGTGGAAACAGGTGCCAAAATAACTTTGTACCACCCCACGATCTTGGGACTGGAAGATGTGTAAAAGTCACAGTCCCAAACGTATCTGACTGGTTTTGCATATTGTGCTAATAAAAGGAGCCTCTACAGAGCTGGCCGGCAGCTTGTCTTGGAGGATGCTTGCCAGCGTGCGTCTGCACAGCTCACCTGCATCCAACCTCCTGTCGTCCTCCGTTATTCCTACACCAAGTGAGCTTCATTGAAAGTGGGGATTCGAACCCTGGTCTCCCACAACCTAGTCCAGCAACCATTATGCCACACTGGCTCTCTGGTTAGGATGGATCCTCCAGTTATTATGGGTCATTCAGTGGGGCAAGTGTGTGCCCCCTTTCCCCCTCCAGACACATGCAACAAGCCTGTCCCAGTCTCATCCCACCCCCAACCCCTACTTTGAGTCTTTTCACCTCTAATTCAGTCACGAACTGGACATGACATGGACTTCTGTTCTTCTCTCCCCCCCCCATTCCAAGGGCAGGGTGTGTGGGACATGGACAAAACAAGGACAATGATCTTTGGGATACCGGAAAATAAGTTCTGTCCTTCCGGTGGCACAATGGCTCAGTACATCCGGCAGTTAGCCAGAAGATTGCTGGTTTGAGCCGTCCCAGGGATGGCTGTGGGCAGGATTCCTGCAGGGCATGGGGTGGGACTAGATGACCCTCGGGAATCCCTTTCAATTCTATGGTTATATGAAATAGGGTGAATTCTGGTGAATTCTGGTGCTGGAGGAGACTCTTGAGAGGCCCATGGACTGCAAGAAGATCAAACCTCTCCATTCTGAAGGAAATCAGCCCTGAGTGCTCACTGGAAGGACAGATCCTGAAGCTGAGGCTCCAAGACTTCGGCCACCTCATGAGAAGAGAAGACTCCCTGGAAAAGACCCTGATGTTGGGAAAGATGGAGGGCACAAGGAGAAGGGGACGACGGAGGGCGAGATGGTTGGACAGTGTTCTCGAAGCCACAAACATGCGTTTGACCAAACTGTGGGAGGTAGTGGAAGGCAGGAGTGCCTGGCGTGCTCTGGTCCAGGGGGTCACGAAGAGACGGACACGACTAAATGACTAAACAACAACAACAACAACAACAATGAAATAGGGGTGGCTCTCCTGCTCAGCAAGGCACTGAGACCTGAAAACGGTGGTGCTCATTTGCTTGCTGACTCCCTGCTCTCCTTCTCTTCATTGAGCTGGGATCACACACACACACACACAAACACACACACACACTCCCCCCCCCCCCAAGTGCAGGAGACACTTCCAATAATGGGAATAAAATCCACATGACTTTGGGTTCAATGCCAGGAAGCAGCTATCTTCCTGGTTAATGATCTACGATCAACCTGCCGATATGCAAATATATACCACACATATCCAAACGAGGATGCATTTTGTGTTTTTGCTCTTGCTGGTGCCAGCCTTTCCCCCTCCTGGACTCTCATGCAAACCTGCAGAACTTCCACAGCACCCCCAACCTAACGGCAGCCTTATGGAAAGTTTCCGGGCTGTCGGTTCATTTGCAATCATGCAAACAGCTTGCGCAAGATGCCCCTCCCACATTTGGCATTCCCAGACCCTCCCCACCCCCTCCTTCTCTGCTAGCTGCCTTGCATTTGGGTGTTATTGATTCCATCTCCTGTTGCCAGGGTAACCCCGGATCCCACCCCCGGGATTTGACAGGTGAACCATATGCCAGCTCTTGTCTCTGCTAAAAACCGCGCCTCCTCCCCATTTATTATTATTATTATTATTGGGAGCTGATGCCTGTTATCGATCGCTGGGTGAGCAAGGCAAACTCTCTGGCCTGATTCAGCTGTGCATTTGCTGTCTGGCTTTGCCTTCCCTGTCTGGAACACAACCGACTTTCAACATGAGCAGTGCCTTGTTCCAAAATGTCATGGAAAGTGAAAATGAGGTTGTAGATTAAACTCTCTCTCTCTGTCTCTCTCACTGCAAAGTCTACAATGAAGATCCCAATAAATTGCACGAAATTGTTTAAAAATCCTTGAACACTATTATACTGTTGTGGGTTTTGGAAGGGGGTCAGTCTGGATGATGCCCTGAGTCCCCTCCAGTTCTTGGGGTCCTGTACCCAGGGAGGGTTAGAATCAAACAGAGGAAGGTCTGAACTGGTCAGACCAATTTCTTTGTAAGGCATTGTAAGACAATGGCCTTAGCCTGTGACTTAGGTGTACTCATCACCATCACAAAAGTTTAAGCAAGAGTTACAACTAAATGGCAGTTTCCTCCAGGTGAATGGTGGGGGTGGGGCTTTCCTCCATCCCCATCTCCTAACCGCCAGGTAGGAGAACATTAGCCAGGGTGGGGTGTGAGAGCTGAGCTGGAAACAGGCTGGAAGCTGGAGACACTGAGACAGGCTTGATCTCTGCTGGAGAAGATCTGCTGCAGTACTAATGCTGTGATCCCCTCCATCTGAGGATAGCTCAGCTGTTAGAGCATGAGACTTAATCTCAGGGTTATGAGTTGGAGTACCAACTTGGGCAAAAACCCCCTGCATTTCATGGGGTTGGA